GCCAGCAGCAGGTCCATCTTGGAGCTGGCTGGAAAGGCGTCGGTCAGACATGGGGGACCCTATGTAGCGCCTCCCCTACCGAAGCCTTGCCATGTAAACCCGATACAACTAGAAACCTTCTGAGGTCCCTTCTGACCTGAACTTCCTGGGAAATAGATCAGTTCTGAAGAATCTTCCACAGCAACATGGGCATCTTGACAGCTACCATGCTCCTGGGCTAAACCTGCAGACTAACCCTGATGCTACTGAGGGATGCTTCTTACCTAAGTGAAGGACTACCTCCCCACAGGAGCATTAACCTGAAGCTGTGCAAAACCATCGAGTCTCCAGAGGGGTGAGGACAGTGGTGCAGGATACAGTCTGGTCCTTGGCACTGCTCCCGTCTCCCACTGCTTCAGCTGCGCTCCTGCAGAAACAGACCACACTGCCACAAGGCGGGCACAGGGACACACAAGCTTCGAAGCTGACATGTTCCAGCCGCAGGAGGGAGAGGAGAGGGATTAAGCTGCGTCCGTAGCTTGTCTCCCTTTCAGGAGAAAGCACAGGGATGCCAGTGCATGGAATTTTCCTTCCTCACTTCTTGGTATCAAAGCATCACTTATATCACCCAGAGGCAGACTCCACTCAGGGTACGGCCGTGGACAGTTTGTGGCCTGCCTTCAGCTTTCAAGCAATTACCTTTGCCACCATGAAGACCTTTCAGAAAGGCACGGTTCTGACACAGAGTGAGTCCTGGGAACACTGGGCAAGAGCGTGTCCCGCATCACCCACCAGTCCACAAGGACCCCCATCCCTCTTGCACAGCCCTTTGGCGACTGTGGCAAGCTGTCCACGTAGCAGACAGTTCCAGTGGCCACCTCATCCCATGCTGAGCTCCAAGTCCAACTGTGTCCCATGCACTCCTGACTTCTTATTTTATGTCAAATGACTTCTTTCTATCTTTCCACTGCCATGCCAGTTTTACAGCTGGTGTTTGTATTAGCCTCCTATTATATCTCATAATGATTTTTATAAATATTTATGTATGTCCTGTTTATTAGTTAATATTAATGCAGATGCTATAAAGCATCACCACTGACATTTTGATGTAATCCCTTAGGTGCATTCTCCCTCCTGATGGTCTGAGAGTGCATCAAGACACAGAGGGCATCTTTAAATCTGCCCCACAGCACGGAGGGATGCAGCACTGGGAATGTGCCGGTGTTGGGTTTTATCTTTCCTCTCCGGGCACCCTCTGTGGTCAGATCATCCTTTGGTCAGGCAGGGACGTCGAAACCCGTGGATGTCATGGTTTGCCTTTTGTGAGCCAGACCCTTCAGCAAAAAGTGGGATTCCTTCAAAGAATCAGATGCCCAAATAACAAGAGAAATGGAGCAGCACAGTTGTCCTTTTCCCTTGTGGGAGAACCGTTCGAGCTGTCCCATGGGTCAGTTGAGGCCTGCATAGGCACCTCTCACGCTGTCCTGGAAGAGCCACGCAGCACACAAGTCCATGGGGTCCTTCTGTGTCCACTCTTAGATGAACCGTCCCTGTCTGCTGTACTTGCAGCAAAAATGGTGGGCATCCGCCCAGCAGTGGTCCAGCAGGGAGGCAGATGATCCCCAGTGTATGCAGATATGTCACATTTCAGGATTTGCAGACTAAAGCGAAGCTCGCATTAGGCAGGGAAAGCCCAGCCCTGCAAGAGGAGAACCATTTTATGAGGGCTGCTGTAGGCAGATCCCAGGGAAGAAGCTTGTCACTGTGTTGGGTTGCTGGTTTTGCTGAAAATGGACATTACGTTTTGCAAGGGTTTCAGCTTCCTTCAAACCCATTGGCACTGCAGGCATTTTAATAGAAGAGTACGTAGTGACCCAAGCCAAGAGATGAATGGTATGTCATGCTAGATGGAAGCTTCAGAGGAAAAAAGGAATGCCCCTTCATGCTTGGCCTGTCCAAGCCAGCTGAGGAGACAGTGCTGGTGTGTGCTGTTGATGGCTGTGCTCAGTTACCGCAGCTGCCGTCAGAGGAAGCGATGGGGCTCACGCACACAGAGGATGCGCAGATGGACCTCATGAGCCGCGGTGTCGTCCAGCCACCCCTAACTCATGGGAGCAGGAAAGAAACGGTGTTTCAATTTCACATCATTTCCCTCTCTGGAGTAAGGAATTCCAGCACTAAAAGGAAACCTGAGTAGTGTCAAGTGAACCTGAGACCTGGAACGAGGAAGACCCTGCCTCTGCCTATTGCTTCTCTGGGCTTTGGACCAGAGGTAGGGGAGATCCAGCACCAGCCTAGGACACACAGAGAAAGGGGGAGATGTGTGTCCCAAATACATCAGTGCATGACGCTCGTGCTGGCCTGCTTGTGGCCCAGGGTTCCTCTCCTGTGGAACCAACCATGTCCGGGTGCCGCAGAGGCAGAACAAAGTGAAAAATTTCTGCTCTCGGCTATTAGAGATGTCTTTTTCCTCTCTGCAGCCGATGAGCCTGGGCTGGAGCAGGGGAGAGGAGAGGGAAAGGCTGGGAGGGGGAGGGGGTCTCCTGGATATGTCGGACCCTCTGTCAGGCACTGGGAGCAGCTTGGGGTGTTTACCGTGGGGCTGCAGGTTCCAGCCGTCGGCACTGAGGTTACGCAGGCGGCTCAGCGCTCCGCTCGCAGTGCTGGGCAAACAGATTCGAGATTCATATCTGAAAAGGAATAAGCACAAATGTTTCCTCCCTTGCAATAACATTGATGAGGAACAGATCTTAACCCCTTTTGTTTCCTCACCTATGCTGAAATTGAAACTGTAGCTGGAATAAAGCCAATGGATTTTCTTTGCAAAGTCCCTTGGGAATGGAAGAGGTCTCTCCCACATCTTTTTCAGTGCATGTGTTAGCGGGTTTTTCCCCAAGATAAGACTTTGGAACTCTGTCCCATCAATGCCACTGGTGATGCTCATGGCTGCCAGCTCAGCCTCGCATCCTTCCCCTCCATCCCCCCTCTTCTGGTAGGTGCTCGGGGCTCACCTCCTGCCCCGGGGGCTGCTCAGGCACAGGAACCCACTGGCTCTCTGTACGCGGCCTGCGCCGCACCGGGCCGACCGCGTGCTCCGCTGCGTCTAGTACAAACCTCCTGCCCCCCTCCCAAATGAACAGCTTGTCCCCATTTACTCTTTCCACGTCAGACCCTGTTTTGCTGATTTTACACCCTCATTTGTTCATCCTGGCCCAAATGGCTTTGGCGTGCCGCAAGTCCCTTTTGGTGTCCTCGCCTGGGGCGGGGGGAGGTCCCCCCACCACCCTTGCACCTTCCATCATACCTGCTGGTTTCTCCTGGTTTTTCCTTGCCGCTTTAGCCCCTGGCTGGGGCAGGCCAGCCTTTCCCCTCCCATTGCCGGCAAGGTCCGGTGGTTTCTTGCAGCATTACCCAGTTTAATCCCGGGCAGAGGCTGGCAATTTGCCTGCGTGCCTTCATACACCCACCCTCCTTCCAGTGAGGTTGGTGCCGGGCTTTAGATTGCGCCTGAGGTGGGGGTGGTGGTGATGGTGGTGTCTGTTCCAAAGCAGGTTCCCTAGGTGCGTTGGCAGGGCGCTCACGCATCTGTGCGCCTGTACCATCGTCCGCAGCGGGGAGATTCACA